ATGAACTGCTACGGCTGCTGCTCATTTTGTTCTTCGCCGCCCCCCCCTCACCCAACTTGCGACCCCCTCACCTACAACCTCTTTTCTCAGGAATTGAAGACTGTATCAATATTAAGTACTACCAGTAAATGTTTCTAGGACAAATGGTCTGTTACTGACAATCTGTTCTGTGCCAAAAATCATGGCACCTTCTAAATATTGGAACCCAATCATCTATGTCTTCCAAATTGCGCCACACCCTTTAATGCACCCACATCAGCTTTTCACAATCCACTCTTTAAATAATCATAAATTTAACAATCTTCTTATCTCCTTCAGGAGATGGCTGATTATGGCTCTTCACAACTTCCTAACCTTTGTATTTCTTAGCAGTTTTTGTCATTTTATGACCCTTTCATTCCCTGTTCTGCAATTACAGGTTACTCACTATCTGTCTATAGGAAGATGCGTGGCATGTGGAACTAGATCAATCTACCCCAGTGGATGAAATAAAGGGTTTGGTTCGAAATTTCAATCACCTGAAGAAGGCTTGAGCGTACAACATCCGAAACATTGTGAATATGACAATGAAGATGATGATGATAACAGTCCAAATAATGTAAATAATAATGCAGGTTATGCACTGTTTTCTTTCTGTCCCTCTTGCCATCTTCTTATCTTCTTCAGGAGATGGATGATCATGGCTCTCCACAACTTCCTAACCTTTGTATTTCTTAGCAGTTTTTGTCATTTTATGACCCTTTCATTCCTTGTTCTGCAATTATAGGTTACTCACTGTCTATGACCATATCATATTGAAATACCAGTTCCCGTATGATCACCAGTTCAATATCAAGTAAAAAAAAAAAGAGATATGATTTTTAAATAACACAATAGATGCATTCACTTTCACACAAATATGCATTGAAAAATCTTCAAAATTCATTTTTTCTGCTGACAGCCATATCATGTTGAAACATCAGTTCCTGTACAATCACCAAAGTTAAGCAATATCGAGCTTGGTCAGTACCTAGATAAATGAAGGCTTAGGAATACCATTGTAAGCTTAGATGTGCAGGTGGTGTAATGGATAATGGTTTGGAATTGTTAATCAGAGTGTTGAGTTCCAATTCCAGTTGGGTTCATTATATTCACTTACTTGCAAATATCCTTGGGAAAGATATGTATCCACCTCTTCTCCACCTGACTGTGGGTTAATTAGTAAAACTGGTATAACTAAACCATTATTATCTCAAAAAAATAATTCTTACAATTTAAAAATATTTTTAAATAAATGGCAAAGGGTTGATAAGCCATAGAAAAGAACTCAACCTCGCCTTCATTATTTCTTATAAGTGTCAAATTCTCCAAGTCCTCTTTCCTTACTATTTTATTCAGTAGCAATGTCTCTGATCAGGAAGTTTTGAAGGAACCACCTCTTAATTGCTGTTGTTCCCAGTTCGACCCTGATCTGGGGTTGGAGCACCTGTTAGTGGTGGGGGGGCAAATAGTTAACCCCCAAACTGGGGTCAAAACACTATGAAAGTATAAAGATAGATTTTTATAGTAAAAATACCAGCAATACATTTGAGTCTATACAAAAGCCCTTTTTACAAAAATATGTCACTGAAACCTGATCTACAAACTGACTTCTTAGAAAGAATGCATTTTCTATTCATATGACCTTATCCTAAAATCTTGTTGGCATTAAATACGCTATTGAGGTTGATATACCATAAAACAAACACTGACCATTGCCATAATAAGGAATTCCATTCTCTCTGGAGATCACATTATATGAGCCTGACAGACTTAGTAAATTATGTTTAATTCACAAAGCACGCTGTAGAATAATTGTAAGTTTTTGTAGTCAACATGTTTTTATTGGTTGATACCGACACTATTTTTGACTAAATATTTCTCTCTCTCTCTCTCTCTATCTCTCTCTCTCTTTTATATATATATATATATATATATATATATATATATAATAATTATTTAAAAAAAAAAGATTCCTTCGCTACATAAGAGTTCTCATGTTTTTACCAAAAACCTCAATATAATTATTAAAATTAAATTGAGTTAAAGTATCAAGCCCTCAAGCAAAAATTTAGGAATCCGGATTATTTACCTAATGTGTTCTTTCCTGTTTTCCTACATATCTGCACACACACACACATACATACATATATATATATATATATATATATATATATAGACACACAAAAATGATATAAACATCTTACCTACTACTGCAGTTTGACCTTTCAGATATTTACTCTGGAACCAATCCAGCCTAAAGATCTGAAAAAGTTTTTGTATTGCTCTAGAGATTAGGTAATTTTTTTTAATCATTTCATCCCAAGGAAGGCAATAAAGCCACTAAGAATCAAGGGTTTACTGAGAGTAGAAGAGGACATTAAGACTTTAGTGAGGAAAAATCAAAATAAGAGTATTCATGAAGGCAGAAGTCAATTGACATTACATTTAAATTTTTGAAGATAGTAAGTGATGGGGAAATGAGAAGTGCATGAAAAGAAACTATTTGAGTAGAACTTATGGTTACATCTTCGCTAATTCAGCAGTAAAATGATAAAACAACTGTCAATGCAATTATATTCTTAAATTCATAAAGCCAAGGTATTAAGGAGAATAGCTTAAAATAATTGCCACGAACATATTTATAGAAAAGTGACTGAAGTTGAGATGCTAGGTCATGACTGATAATATTGCAGACCTTTCTTTGGGTTTTTGTTGAACATCTTGAAATATATAGCACGGGCACCAGAATAGAAATGGCAGCAATGGATGAATTTTAGTTTTATAAATTTCAAGGTGAATTCTTTGGAGAATCTTTTTTAAAAATATCTCCTAGGACTGGTCAGTTTTGTTGTAAACTTTGTCCCATAATTGATCTAAGTTTCTTTATACAGAGTGTCCATAAAGTTTCACTCTATTTTTATTTATTTTATTGTATTATTGCTGTTTGATCTTCAGGAATATGACTTTTCGACTGAATCAGAATCAACAACATTACTATTAGTGTAGCTCAAATGCAGCTGGGGTATATCATTACCGCAGTGAAGAACTGGGCAGAACTTTTTGGGACTTTTGTATATATATATATATATATATATATATATATATATATATATATATAAGGAGGCACAGTGAAGTAATGGATAGCAGCTTGGATTGAGGAATCAGAGAGCCGAGTTTGAATTACTACATCCGCGTCCTGGTTATGGCGATAAACTACATCCGCGTCCTGGGTACAGCGATAAACTACATCCAACAGCAAGGCCTCAGATAATGTTTTCAGAAAAATAATGTTGCCAGCTATACGTTTTTGAAACCATAATGTTGCCAGCTATACGTTTTTGACTTTTAAAGTCACTCAAAATCATTTTCGGCATAAAGTGACCACTAAGGTTGAGATACCGTTAAACAAAACAATCAGCGATCAAATGGAAATTCTTGACTTAAACAAAAAAATACCTAGGATTATTTTGCAGTGTGCAAGCAAATAAGCTCTAGCTTGCTAAAAATGTTCCCATACAAAATAGGCATTTAAAAATTCATATATTTGGCATATATATATAAACTGGATTTGGCATTAAATAACCCACAGTGGTTGATATGCCATAAAAACCAAAACAAACAAACAAGGTTCAAGTTCAAGTCAATCCATTACATTCACTTACAGGCTAATACCCTTGGGAAAGGTGTGAATCCTCTTCTTTTCCCTCCAGCTATGGGCAATTAGCAGGACAGACTGGGTTCTATAGCCTTTGATGGCAACTGTGTGTGTGTATTGTGTGTGTGTGTGTATATATATATATATATATATATACATATTTATGGATTTTATATACATATATATATATATATATATATATATATATATATATAAGGAAATTATATATACATATATATATATATATATATATATATATATTTTAATTGAAAGTATATACATATATATATATATATATATATATATATATATTTTAAGGAAATTATACATATATATATATATATATATATATATATTTTAGAAATTATATATATATATATATATATATATATATACACTTTAAGGAAATTTTATATATATATATATATATATATATATATATATACTTTAAAATTATATATATATATATATATATATATATATATATACTTTAAAAGTATATATATATATATATATATATATATATATATATATATATATACACTTTAAGAATTATATATATATATATATATATATATATATATTTAGGGAAATATATATATATATATATATATATATATATATATATACACCTATGGAGCCAGACAAACCTACCTAGGTTTCACCTAAGCGGATCGTCAGGAAAGTTAAGTTTTTTCTTTTAAAATATTAATTTGATTAACAAATCAAAATTCAAGGGTTTTAAAGCAGGTCTAATTATCTATATTTATATATATATATATACACTTTAAAGAAATATATATATATATATATATATATATATATATATATACACACACTGTAAAAAAAAATATATATATATATATATATATATATATATATATATATACACACACTGTAAAAGAAATTATATATATATATATATTTTAAAATTATATATAGTAATCTACATTTCAATTAACCCACACCAATACATTTATAATATCCTTGCTTTTCTTCTTCTTCATATCCTCTCTTCCCTTTCTGTTACACCCAATGTTGTGTATTTGTTTATTTTTTAAAATAATAATATAGCATTCATTAATTTTAAAAAAAAAAATAAAGCATTAAGAGGTCATTCAATAAAAATTGCCGGAGGATAACCATAAGGTTGAAACCAACGTGGCGGATTCAGCTGACCTCCTGATTTTTAAAGTTAAAGCTGGATATGTTATTTTTTACTTTTTACACATGTGTTGAGCATTTTTTTAATGTTATTATTACCTGGTCTAATTCAACTACCATTAATCTTTTATATATATATATATATATATATATATATATATATATATATATATATGAATGATGCTGTGTCTAACTGAATGTTGTCTCTAAAGAGTTTGCTTCTTTATGATATGTTTTAACATTCTGTCTTCCTGTAATACTTAGCTTCAGAAGTTAGGTAATGATACCACTCCATAGATTCCGTCTTTTTTTTTTTTTAATTCTCTTTGAATTGACATGCCTCTGGGGAAATATAGGGGAATCTTTAGAATTCAGTTTTCCTCCACTTTGATTTCTTGTCACTCAAAGCTAAAATAGCTCAGTAAGCTTTGCTATTTAACCCATAGTTGGGGGGAAAAGAGATGAATCCTTTCCTTTTCCTAATAGCATTTGTGTGAAAGAGAATACAGCAGGTTAAGCTGGGACTCAAATTCAGCTTGCCAATTGTATTTTAAATGTCAATATCCATTGAATATGAATAATTACAGGATTTTATACAAGAGCACTAAGAATCTGTGCCCCCAAATATTTACCTGAAGAATAATTGTACATAGAAAACATCTTTAAAAACCTCTAATATCCTTACTATTTCAATGCTAAGAGAAAGGCATGTAAATTTACAATTACAAGAAATATGACATTAATAACAATGACAAGACAATTGTCCTCATCTTTTGCATATATTTATCCTAGCGTTTCGGCGGTTGCCATGTCCGGCCTTCTCCAGGTGGTTGGAAATGTCGAACTGAACCCTTTATTTTGCTCACACTGGGGTAGACTGTTCTAGTTCCACGTGCCATGTTTGATGGATGTCAATTATCAGTTATCTCCTGTTAATTTTCCCTCTGAAAGTTCTCCACTGCCTTAACCGGGTATTGAACTCACACTCTTTGTGTCCTGTCACTGGATCTAGCCAATGCCTTTATCCACTGTGCCATGTGTTCCAACCACCTGAAGAAGGCCGGAGCGTACAACGGCCAAAACATTATGATAAATATGGCGACAAAGATGAGGACAATAGTCCGAATAATGGAAATAATGTACATAATACCTCATCTCAGAAATATAGACAGAATCAAAATTATTATGGATATGATCAGTACCAAAAATGTTCATAAAAATCATAATTCTGAAGCAGGTATATATAAAAAGCACTATAATGACCGCACCTTGCTATATATTAGGGAAATTTGCAGAAATGAAAAAAAAAATAGTTCGATGAATACAAAAAAGATCGGATACATAACAATTTATCAAAGGCATACACAGAAATAAGTTCAACAACAACTTCAATCTAAAGAATGCTAGTCTTATTAAAAAAAGAAAATAACTTATTTAGAAAGTTTTTGAAAGTGCTATTATTAAATCTTGCCAAAATGTAAATCTGTGCCTCACATTTTTTTCAGATGTCTCCTTCCCTAAAGGATACACTCTTTTCCAAAGTTAACATATATGATCATTACAATTTTAAAAAAATTAAGACAAAATGGTTAAATCAAAATTTTCTATTATTTAATATATATAAATCCATAAATAATTTATCAAATTAAAATGAAATAATAAATAATAACTGCATTAATAAAAATGGAATATATATATAAATATATATAAACAAATAAGAAATAAAAATGTCAACAACAACAACAAAAAATGAATCACTTTTGTTAGACATTAATTTATATCACTTCACATCTTCCATAATTTACCTTGACTTTCACAGTTCACTATAAAATATTTTTGAGCATACTTAAATTTAAAAATTTAAAGTTTTTACTTTTGTTCATAAACACGTTTTAAAATAAAATCTTTACATTTGCCTTCATAAAATCCATATTGTCCTTTGATAGAAATAGCCTTTTTTCGTTTTTAAACATAGAATTTGAAATTGACTTACCCAGACATTAAAAATCATATTAAAGAAAATAAAAATTTTAACAGGGATTGAACCTGCATTCTTTTTATCCTAGGGAAGTCAACTCAATTTTAAGTTTGGTTCCCTCACAGCAAAGCAAGGTTCAATTACCCTTTTTAAAGAGTTCACAACTACATTATTTGATCTCTCACCAAGGAGTGGATTTTCTTTAATACAATTTTTGTTGATCTAGAATGGTAGATTTGAATTGCAATCCTTATAATAATAATTAGGATAATGAAAGAATGTGGAAAAGCTATAAATGACGCATTGTTTCAACCAGTGTTTGCTAGCCTCACCTTCTTCAGGTCATAATGAAAGACAAAATTGTGTGTCAGGAAAATATGTTTGGATTTTTTAAGGATAAGAGGCGCCATAAATTAATTTACCTTATTAAATCCAAAGACTAAAATGTTTATTATATATAGAGCTACTTTCATTTTGGATACTATTATACATCCTACACACAAAATCTAAATATATCCATATATGAAAGACATTTATAAAAATATAGAAATATAATAACAGTAGGCAAATTAATAACACGATGAAATTTTGGGTAGTGACATTTCAGTCTTTGCTTCAAATCTTTCTTCTGTTTTTTATTTTTCTATTATTTTCCAAGGTTTCTCTCTTTCTTTTCTGCTTTCTTCTCTCTCTCTCTCGTCTCTCTCTCTCTTTTCTGCTTTCTTCTCTCTCTTTTCTGCTTTCTTCTCTCTCTTTTCTGCTTTCTTTCTCTCTTCTGCTTTCTTCTCTCTCTTGTTTTCTTCTCTCTCTTGTTTTCTTCTCTCTCTTCTTTTCTTCTCTCTCTCTTCTGCTTTCTTCTCTCTTTTGCTTTCTTCTCTCTTTTCTGCTTTCTTCTCTCTTTTCTGCTTTCTTCTCTCTTTTCTTCTCTCTTTTCTTTCTTCTCTCTCTTCTTTCTCTCTTCTGCTTTCTTTCTCTCTGCTTTCTTCTCTCTCTTCTGCTTTCTTCTCTCTCTTCTGCTTTTTCTTCTCTCTGCTTTCTTTCTCTTTCTGCTTTCTCTCTTTCTGCTTTCTTCTCTCTTCTACTTTCTTCTCTCTTCTGCTTTCTTCTCTCTTTTCTGCTTTCTTCTCTCTCTTCTTTTCTTCTCTCTTTTCTTTCTTCTCTCTCTTTCCTTTTTCTCTCTTTTCTGCTTTCTTCTCTCTTTCTTCTCTCTTTGCTTTCTTCTCTCTTTTCTGCTTTCTTTCTCTCTTCCTTTCTTCTCTCTTTTCTTTCTTCTCTCTCTCTTTCTTCTCTCTTCTTTCTTCTTCTCTCTTTCTGCTTTCTTCTCTCTCTCTTTCTTCTTTCTTCTCTCTTTCTTCTCTCTTTTCTTCTCTTCTCTCTCTTCTTTCTTCTCTCTTCTTTTCCTGCTTTCTTCTCTCTCTCTCTTCTCTGCTTTCTTCTCTCTTTCTGCTTTCTTCTCTCTTTTCTGCTTTCTTCTCTCTCTTCTGCTTTCTTCTCTCTTTTCTGCTTTCTTCTCTCTCTTCTGCTTTCTTCTCTCTTTTCTGCTTTCTTCTCTCTCTTTTCTGCTTTCTTCTCTCTTCTGCTTTCTTCTCTCTTTCTTTCTTCTTTTCTGCTTTCTTCTCTCTCTTTTCTGCTTTCTTCTCTCTTCTGCTTTCTTCTCTCTTCTGCTTTCTTCTCTCTTTTCTGCTTTCTTCTCTCTTTTCTGCTTTCTTCTCTCTCTTCTGCTTTCTTCTCTCTTTTCTGCTTTCTTCTCTCTCTTCTGCTTTCTTCTCTCTCTTTTCTGCTTCTCTCTTTTCTCTCTCTTCTCTGTTTTTTTCTCTCTTCTTCTCTTCTCTTTCTGCTTTCTTCTCTCTCTTTTCTCTTTCTTCTCTCTCTTTCTGCTTTCTTCTCTCTTCTTTCTTCTCTCTTCTTCTCTCTTCTCTTCTCTTCTCTCTTTTTCTGTTTCTTCTCTCTTCTCTCTTTTCTTCTCTCTTTTCTGCTTTTCTTCTCTCTTTCTGCTTTCTTCTCTTTTCTGCTTTCTTCTCTCTTTCTTCTCTTTCCTTTTCTTCTCTCTTTTCTGCTTTCTTCTCTCTTTTCTCTTTCTCTCTCTTTCTGCTTTCTTCTCTCTCTCTTTCTTCTCTCTTCTTTCTTCTCTCTTCTCTCTCTTTCTGCTTTCTTCTCTCTCTCTTCTGTCTTTTTCTTCTCTCTTCTCTTTCTTCTCTCTCTTTCTTTTTTCTTCACTCTCTTCTCTTTCTCTCTCTGTCTTCTTTCTTCTGTCTTCTCTTTCTTCTCTCTTTTCTGCTTTCTTCTCTCTTTTCTGCTTTCTTCTCTCTTTTCTGCTTTCTTCTCTCTTTTCTGCTTTCTTCTCTCTTTTCTGCTTTCTTCTCTTTTCTGCTTTCTTCTCTCTTTTCTGCTTTCTTCTCTCTCTTCTGCTTTCTTCTCTCTCTTCTGCTTTCTTCTCTCTCTTCTGCTTTCTTCTCTCTCTTCTGCTTTCTTCTCTCTTTTCTGCTTTCTTCCCTCTCTTCTGCTTTCTTTGTCTTTTCTGCTTTCTTCTCTGTCTTTTCTGCTTTCTTCTCTCTCTCTCTCTCTGTTCTTTTCTGGTTTCTTCTCTCTCTCTCTCATTGTCTTTTCTGGTTTCTTCTCTCTCTCTCTCTCTGTCTTTTCTGGTGTCTTCTCTCTCTCTCTGTCATTTCTGCTTTCTTCTCTCTCTCTCTCTGTCTTTTCTGGTGTCTTCTCTCTCTCTCTCTCTCTGTCTTTTCTGGTGTCTTCTCTCTCTCTCTCTGTCTTTTCTGGTGTCTTCTCTCTCTCTCTCTGTCTTTTCCGGTGTCTTCTCTCTCTCTCTCTCTCTTTGTCTTTAGTGTCTTCTCTCTCTCTCTCTATCTTTTCTGGTGTCTTCTCTCTCTCTCTCTCTTTCTTTTCTTCTCTGTCTTCTCTCTCTCTCTCTTTTCTGGTGTCTTCTCTCTCTCTCTGTCTTTTCTGGTGTCTTCTCTCTCTCTCTCTGTCTTTTCTGGTGTCTTCTCTCTCTCTCTGTCTTTTCTGGTGTCTTCTCTCTCTCTCTGTCTTTTCTGCTTTCTTCTCTCTCTCTCTCTGTATTTTCTGGTTTCTTCTCTCTCTCTCTCTCTTTTCTGGTTTCTTCTCTCTCTCTCTCTCTTTTTCTGGTTTCTTCTCTCTCTCTCTCTCTTTTCTGGTTTCTTCTCTCTCTCTTTCTGGTTTCTTCTCTCTCTCTCTCTCTGTCTTTTCTGGTGTCTTCTCTCTCTCTCTTTTCCGGTTTCTTCTCTCTCTCTCTCTCTCTCTTTTCCGGTTTCTTCTCTCTCTCTCTCTCTTTTCTGGTTTCTTCTCTCTCTCTCTCTCTTTTCTGTTTCTTCTCTCTCTCTCTCTTTTTTCTGGTTTTCATCTCTCTCTCTCTCTTTCTCTTTTCCTGTTTCTCTCTCTCTTTCTCTTTTCTGGTTTCTTCTCTCTCTCTCTATCTCTTGGTTTCTTCTCTCTCTCTATCTCTTTTCTGTTTTTCTCTCTCTCTCTCTCTTTCTGGTTTCTTCTCTCTCTCTCTCTCTTTTCTGGTTTCTACTCTCTCTCTCTTTTCTGGTTTCTTTCTCTCTCTCTTTTCTGGTTTCTTCTCTCTCTCTCTTTTCTGTTTTCTTCTCTCTCTCTCTTTTCTATTTTCTCTCTCTCTCTTTTCCGGTTTCTTTCTCTTTTCTCTCTCTCTCTCTTTTCTGTTTTCTTCTCTCTCTCTCTTTTCTGTTTTCTTCTCTCTCTCTCTCTTCTGTTTTCTCCTCTCTCTCTCTCTTTCTGTTTTCTCCTCTCTCTCTCTCTCTTTTTTCTCTCTCTCTCTCTTTCTCTCTCTCTCTCTCTCTTCTGTTTTCTCTCTCTCTCTCTCTTCTGTTTTCTTCTCTCTCTCTCTTCTGTTTTCTTCTCTCTCTCTCTCTTCAATTTTCTCTCTCTCTCTCTTCTGTTTTCTTCTCTCTCTCTCTTTTGTTTTTCTCTCTCTCTCTCTTCTGTTTTCTTCCTCTCTCTCTCTCTTCTGTTTTCTTCTCTCTCTCTCTCTTCTGTTTTCTTCTCTCTCTCTCTTCTGTTTTCTTCTCTCTCTCTCTTCTGTTTTCTTCTCTCTCTCTCTCTACCTTTTTCCCTATCTCTCTTCTGTTTTCTTCTCTCTCTCTCTCTTCATTTTCTTTCTCTCTCTCCCTTCTGTTTTTTCTTCCTCTTCAATTTTCTCTCCCTCTCTCTTCAGTTTTCTTCCCTATCTCTCTTCAGTTTTCTTCCCTATCTCTCTTCAGTTTTCTTCCCTATCTCTCTTCAGTTTTCTTCCCTATCTCTCTTCAGTTTTCTTCCCTATCTCTCTTCAGTTTTTTCTTCTCTTCAGTTTTCCTCTCTCTTCAATTTTTCTTCTATCTCTCTTCAATTTCTTCCCTCTCTCTCAGTTTTCTTCCTTCTCTCTTTTTCTTCCCTCTCTCTTCAGTTTTCTTCCCTATCTCTCTTCAGTTTTCTTCCCTCTCTCTCTTCAGTTTTCTTCCCTCTCTCTCTTCAGTTTTCTTCCCTCTCTCTTTTCTCTTCAGTTTTTCTTCTCTCTCTTCTTTTCTTCCCTATCTCTTCAGTTTTCTTCTCTCTCTTTTCATTTTCTTCTCTCTCTCTTTCTTTCTTCTATCCTCTCTCTCTTTTCACTTTCTTCTCTCTCAATTTTCTTTTCTCTCTTCAGTTTTCTTCTCTCTCTCTTTTTTCTTTATCTCTCTTCAGTTTTCTTCCCTCTCTCTGTTTTCTTTCTCTTGTTTTCTTCCCTATCTCTCTTCATTTCTCTCCTATCTCTTTTCTGTTTGGCTCTTCTGTTTTCTTCCCTATCTTTTCAGTTTCTTCTCTCTCAGTTTTCTCCTGTCTTTTCGTTTTCTTCTCTATCTCTCTTCTTTTCTTCCTATCTCTCTTCTTTCTCTCTCTTTTCAGTTTTCTTCTCTCTCTCTTTTCAATTTCTTCTATCTCTTTCAGTTTTCTTCTCTCTTCAGTTTTCTTCCTTTCTCCAGATTTTCTTCCCTATCTCTCTTCAATTTCTTCCTATCTCTCTTCAGTTTTCTTCTCTCTCTCTCTTCAGTTTTTTCCGTATCTCTCTTCCAGTTTTCTTCATTATCTCTCTCTTCTCTCTCTCTCTTCTGTTTTCTCTCTCTCTCTTAGTTTCTTCTTGTCTCTGTCAATTTTCTCCTTTCTTCTCTCTCTGTCTCTCTCTCTTTCTCTCCTTCTTCTTCTCTCTCTCATTTTTTCTTTTCTCTTTCTTCTTCTCTGTCTCTCTCTCTCCTTGTTCTTCTCTCTCTCTCTCTCTCTCTCTTGTTCTTCTTTCTCTCTCTCTCTCTTCTTGTTCTTCTCTGTCTCTCTCTCCTTGTTCTTCTCTGTCTCTCTCTCTCCTTGTTCTTCTCTGTCTCTCTCTCTCCTTGTTCTTCTCTCTCTCTCTCTCCTTGTTCTTCTCTGTCTCTCTCTCTCTCCTTGTTCTTCTCTGTCTCTCTCTCTCTCTCCTTGTTCTTCTCTGTGTCTCTCTCTCTCTCCTTGTTCTTCTCTGTGTCTCTCTCTCTCTCCTTGTTCTTCTCTCTCTCTCTCTCTCTGTTCTTCTCTCTGTCTCTCTCTCTCTCTCCTTGTTCTTTCTGTCTCTCTCTCTCCTTGTTCTTCTCTCTGTCTCTCTCTCTCTCTCTCTGTTCTTCTATTCTTCTGTCTCTCTCTCTCCTTGTTCTTCTCTCTCTCTCTCTCCTTGTTCTTCTCTCTCTCTCTGTTTTTCTTCTGTCTCTCTCTCTCTCTTGTTCTTGTTCTCTCTCTCTCTCTCTCTCCTTGTTCTTCTCTCTCTCTCTCTCTCTCCTTGTTCTTCTCTCTCTCTCTCTCCTTGTTCTTCTCTCTCTCTCTCTCCTTCTTCTTTCTTCTCTCTCTCTCTCCTTGTTCTTCTCTCTCTCTCTCCTTGTTCTTCTCTCTCTCTCCTTGTTCTTCTCTCTCTCTCTCCTTGTTCTTCTCTCTCTCTCTCCTTGTTCTTCTCTCTCTCTCCTTGTTCTTCTCTCTCTCTCTTTTCTTGTTCTTCTCTGTTCTCTCTCCTTGTTCTTCTCTCTCTCTCTTGTTCTTCTGTCTCTCTCCTTGTTCTTCTCTCTCTCTCTCCTTCTTCTCTCTCTCTCTCTCCTTGTTCTTCTCTGTCTCTCTCCTTGTTCTTTCTGTCTCTCCTTGTTCTCTCTGTCTCTCTCCTTGTTCTTCTCTGTCTCTCTCCTTGTTCTTCTCTGTCTCTCTCCTTGTTCTTCTCCTCTGTCTCTCCTTCTCTTCTCTCTCTCTCTCTCCTGTCCTCTCTCTCTCTTCTCTTCCTTCTCTCTCTGTCTTGTCTTTTCTCTCTCTCTCTGTCTTCTTTTATTTTCTTCTGTTTCTTCTTTTATTTTCTTCTGTTTCTTTTTTATTTCTTCTGTTTTTCTTTTTATTTTCTTTTCTTATTTTCTTTTTCTTTTATTTTCTTTTTTTCTTCTTCTGTTTCTTCTTGTTTATTATTAGACTTTCATGCTAAAAATATTTGAATAAGCAAAGCAAGCTTAAAATTTACACTTTTTTCTTTGAAAATCCAGAACGTCTGTACAAAGTCCCAAGAATCTGTCTTGTTGGGTTTTTTTTTTTCCTTGTTAAAAGTAAAACTCTTCTTATTTTTGTCATTGTTCTTGCAGGAGTTTGCAGCCCAAGTGCATTCACTCAAATGACTATTGCATCTAATGTGAAAGGATTCTATTCTGCTGTCCGTCTATCACCTCCTGCCACATCTCTTTATATAACAGCTGGGGCCTTCCCTTATGTTGGTTTCTTTTATGCTGAAGAGGTAAGCTCTAATATCAATAATAAAGATTGTATTAGCCCAGAGAATTTACATAAAAAGCAACAATAATAAGATAAAATAAAACTAGTAATAAAATACAGTGGAACCTCAGTTCACAAATTTAATTTGTACCTGAAGGCTGCTTGTAACCTGAAACTATTTTTCTAATAGGAATCAATGTAGAAAAAAAAAGTCACAGTACAATAAAATTGAAAAAGAAAAGCACGGCACAACATACAAATGTATACAACATGGCGGTCAACTCGGAAATTATTCCCTTTAGGTTAACTCAATTCAGCAATGTTGTTCGAGAACCAAAATTTTGTTCGATAACCAAATTTTTTTTTCATCTTAAATTTTTTCGTTCAAAAACTGATTTGTTCAACATGTGAGATGTTCAAAACCGAGGTTGCACTGTAATAGTAATAATGAAGGCGTGATTGAGCTATAGTATTTGGATAAAAGCAACGATCATAAGATGGAGTAAAACTAGTAATAAATAATGTTTATAATGAAGAGCATATTGAACCAGTGTTGGGATAAAAAGCAACAATAATAAGACAAAGTAAAATTATTTTTTTTCTCTTTCTTAAATCATTTCACTCCAAGCAAGGTGATAAAGTCACTAAGATGCAAGTGGTTACTGAGAGTGAAGGAAACCAAGAAAATGTTTTTGAAGATAAAGGACAATAAAAGGAACAAGATTCAAGGACACAGAAGATGACTATTGCATTTACTTTTTGACCAATAGTAATAATGAAGAGTTTATTGACCTAGAGTGTTAGCAATATAAAGCTGCAATATTAAAACTAGTAATAAAATAAAAATGAAAAAAAATTGAATTTAATTAAGAAATAAACTACACTTTTCATTATGCATTATTGTAGTTGATGACAGCAGTAATGAAATGTATTTTGTTATAAGTCAGTTTAAACTGTTTATAGTGACTAATCATCAACTACAATAATGCATAATGACAATTAATCCAGAAACAAGCCCCCCCAATAAATAAGTGCACACACACATTGTTGAGGAGTGAAGGTAGTTAAAAAATAATAGTGGTGTCAAGGGAAAAAATTGTCCTTTTGACACTCTGTTTCTTTTTTGCAGGCACGGGGGTTCAAGATTGCTGAAAATTCCTCTTCTGTTGAGTATTCTACAATTTTTCAGCACCCCCCTTCCACATACTAAAAACATCACTATTTGTTAATTTGACTTTTATCTTTTCTCTATTAATATTGGATCTAATTTTCAAAACATTTATAGGTACATTGACATTTTTTCCACTGATAAAACCATGTATATGAATGGCAATGGCAAGTGATCAATCTAACCTATTTCTCAAAAATCTGAAGTGGGGGAGACTTTCAGTACCCCCCTCTCTTCTGTGTGTGATTAACAGTACACATTGTTTCATGTTAAAAGTGGATAATGTTTAACAAGTTTATAATACTGATTTGGAGAGACATTTTACTCAAAATAATTCATGAAGTTGTAAATATATTAACTATTTGCAGCACTTTTTTATTTTATTTTTCATTTATTTACTTTTACTTTTTTTTTCCTTTTGTTTTCTCTCTCTTTATACCCTTTTTGTTTTTTTTCTCTCTTGTCTTTTATTCCCTTTTTGTTTTTTCTCTCTGTCTTTTATTCCCTTTGTTTTTCTCTCTCTGTCTTTTATTCCCTTTTGTTTTTTCTCTCTGTCTTTTATTCCCTTTGTTTTTCTCTCTCTGTCTTTTATTCCCTTTTGTTTTTCTCTCTCTCAAATATTTTTTTTTTTTTTTTAATTAAACCCTGCATAATAAAAAAAGTCAATACAGAGGTCAAACGTAATCTCTACAAATCTCCACCAGTGGAGTTTAGAAAATATCCATTATTTTTCAAACATATTTCTTACTAAATTTACAGTGTCCAATATGCTGATTCACTCTAAATGCTGCAAAATAGTGTAATCATTTCTCAGAGCAATTTTTCTCAACTAACCTGAAATAAGTCTTTGTTTTTGTATTTTATTTCAGTTTGTGTGTCTCTCTCTCTCTCTCTATCTATCTATCTATCTATCTATCTATCTATATATATATATATATATATATATATATATATATATATATATGCGATGGATAAATTGTCATCTAAATTGCACAAAAATGAAAATAGCAACACTAACATCTCATCCTAACAGATATGCTTACCAAAATTACACAAAAATATCTTGAAATACTATAGAGTAAATTTATTCAATAAAATCACCATTGGCTTCAGCCCACTTGGGAATCTACTGCAACTCTTCTGAACTGTCTCCTTCTAACAAAAGTGATAGAAAGGAAAAGACTCTAAATGAATCCCACTAGATATATGAAAAAAATTCTAAAATCCCCATGTGTGTGCATGTGTAGTTGTACCAACATAACAAATTTAGTCCAATGAAGGATGAAACGTGTCACAAATAAACTTTTTCCATAGATATTGTTGTATCCTTAAAGAAGGTTACAAACAAAAGTGGTACCCGAAGCAAATCCGCCAGGTATATCCTGTGCTTACCACATATATCTACCGATATAGTCAGTCCACATAGGCGATTATATATGTAGGACATTCCCTTATAAAATATATATATATATATATATATATATATATATATATATATATATATATATATATATATATATATATGGATTCTCCCATTAATTTTTGACATATGAGATTCCAACAACCTCAATCAGTTTATATGTTTGTGTTGTATGTGACACTTCAATCCCACTAGTGAACTGCATACAAATCCACACACACATATATATATATATATATATATATATTATTATTGTTGGCAGTGATATATTTCTTCTGTGACCTGTCAATAGCATTTTAATATCGTTTCTTCTTTCTAGAAAGTATGCAACCAATATTATATCTGATTTGCTTATGCTGTTAACCTGCAAACTCAAATCTGCCTTCCAGTATCAGCTGCAAGGTGATTATTTTTCTTTTCTTTAATCCCACTTTAAAATTTGAAAAAGTTATTTCTATACCAGAAATACACAGACATATATCTTCTTGAATAATTAAATTTTTTTATTCTCTTTGATATGTCATATTTTTTTCTTTTGTCTTGCTCCTTTCTTTTTTAACCAGTTTCTTTGTATTTGTATAAAGCAATGTCATTGCTGATAGGATGTTTAACCATAAATGAGGTATTTATACTATACGATCAGTGTTCACTATTCATGTGTATCTGATTTTGCTTATTCGTTCCCTTCTCTACTACTATATGGAAAAATTCTTTTCTGGTTAAAAATTTTACTGTTTGCAAAAAAAAAAAAAATAGTGAACAAGTATTATTGGAAGGCGTTACTACTAGTAATGTTGTCTACAAAGTCCTGAATATAAAAGAGACAGCTTCTTCATTTATTCTCAGACAGGTTCACTTTATCTGCTTAGTCAATATTAAATTTTACATGAAATGATCTGGTCTCTTTTCACCTTGAGAATACTTTTCTAACAAATCAACAAAAGCTGACCAACAGATATCATTGGTATTAATTTGAATTGCAATGCATTATCAAAGACAATATACTACAAACAGTTTAAACAAGAGTCGGGCAACCTGTCAGGGATCCATCCTGTTGGCATTTTGACCGGCCTGCGAGCCTGATTACCAATGACTCTATTTTTAACATAAGAGATGAGGCTTTTGAATTAGACTATCTGCCAGTTATCTTTCATGAAACTTATTTTACCAAGTTGCGTTGCCTACGTTTAATGTCAAATAATGAATCCATATTTGTTATGACCCTTGGCTACATTAAAAGATGACAAAAGCGAAAGGAATGATAAAGTGAAAGAGGCCAGGGAGACATTAGAAACATACGCACATTATACATACATGTCTCATGAATGTGTGGATGATACTGCATGTGTACGTACATAAGTGTATATGTTTGTAACTATTTGTACTCGTATATATGGGTATATTTTTTTCATTTTTGTTTGATGTGTGTGTGTGTGTGTGTGTGTGTGGTTTGTTTTGTGGAACAATTTTCAATAACAGTTTCAAACCTACATCATAATTTCATCCATTTCACTTTGGTTGATTTTTTTCACTTTGAAGTATTTGATGTTCCTTGAGGAAAAGTAATTTTTTTGTTAGATGTTTTTAATTTTAGATTTTCTTTTTGTTTTCTGATTTCTCAATGTTTATTTTCAATATGGTTTTAAATATTTAGGTTGACAGGGTCTGCAGATGTAATTTTCCTTAATTTTCATTAATGGCCTCTGTCCTGCCCGACAAATCATCATTAACATGATCGGCCCCCACGGGTCAAAATGAGTTGCCGATTCCTGGTGTAAACAAACAGTATGCTATGGAATCAGTTATGTATAAAAAGTGACTCATTCTAGCTATTTACTAGGTAAAATGGAAGGGCATTCAGTAATTATTATAATAGTATATGGCACACACTGAGATAGATATTCATATACGGAGATAGATAGGTATTAATAGACTCAGATAGATATTATTGGAAGGCGTTACTACTCGTATTGGTGTCAACAAAGTCTGGAATATAACAAGCATTTTTGGAAGTGATAACGTGCTTTTGCTTGACATAGCAAAAATGACAAGCTAAGCCGTCCAACATCACAGAAGTGGTGACAAGGATTCACAAGGAATCATAAAGCTTTTTAAATCTCTTTTCCTTTGTTTCCTTTTACCATTTATTCTTTGTTCTCTTTATATTTTACTTACTCTTCCTTCTCCTCTTCCTCATCAAAGACTTTAAAATAGCTTTACTCATCTCTTGGTATATAATAAGTGGATTTGTTAAAATCTCAAATGTTTAAACCTTTCCTTTTAAACAAAAAACCTGAAAACCTTGAAATTTGATTAATAATTCTCCTGCCAATATTTAACAAATGATCAAGAAAATATGTCCTCCAAAATTGAAGAAAACAGTTTTTCTCTAACAATCTCAAGAAACTAATACTAAGAGACAGTTTCTTCATTTATTCTCAGACAGGTTCACTTTATCTGCTTAGTCAATATTAAATTTTACATGAAATCATCAAACAAGTTTTAATTATATCCTCAGGTTATGGAATATTTCCTTGGCATGGAAATTTATGAGTTTCATATCATATTATGTAGTAGTAATAATTGTAAAGTCTAATGAAAAATGGATACTTTACAGTACAAGCAAAATGAACACTGGTTTAATCAAACCAACAGATATATTAAAGCCAATAATTTTATAAGTGAAAATGATTTGAGTTAGTTTATACTAGTATTAAACATATAGCTATGATTTTTGTAGAAACAGGACAGGAACTAATTGCATACAATGCAAAGTGAGTCTTGCCCTGATTTTGGATAATGGTCTGAAGCAATATTTTATGAGGATAGGTGTTCTTTCTGATGCCCAACTCGGACACTCATGATAATCCAAATACACAGATTGCTTTAAATGATACACCATCTTTGGTGAGTTTGCCATTCAATGCTTGAGACCCCATCCTAGGCTCATCTCTCTCTCTCTCTCCCTCTCTCTCTCATATATATATATAATATATATATCTTCTTACTTATTATAAAACCCAGGTTGTGTGTGTGTGTCTGTACATTTATATATTGGATTGGATTTCCTACATTTTTCAACCGATTTCAACAAAACTTCACAGGACTATTTAAAATTACCTTCTGCGGTGGTTCTGACAGCACCCAAAATTGGAAAAAACACAATAGGTTTTGCATGAAATCAATTTCAAAAAACACTATTAGAGGCATCACTTTCCATGGGAATGAAAGGGGACAACTCATATAGAGTTTACTTATTATAAACCCAGGTTGTTTGTGTGTGTGTGTGTGTTCATTTATATATGGGATCAGATTTCCTACATTTTTCTTGATTTCAACAACACTTTTTTTTGGCAGGTAGTGTTTTTTATTGTCTTGCACACTTTTTTCTTCATTTTTACATCAGAATTTTAAAATTCCATTTACAAGACAATTGTTTTAATAAAATTCTATTCAATAGGTAGACTCAAACGATTGAAAACAATGTTTTTGTTTGGGTTTACCAATTTGTAAAAAAAAAAAAAACTCAAAAAAAGTAATTAAGACATTAAACAATAATCTATGTCAATTTTATTTTTCAGTCTTTATGATGGACTTGATCTATCTCTTATTGTTACACAATGAGTTTTATATATATATATATATATATATATATATATATAATATATATATATAAAATGTGTGTGTTTGTTTGCAGATGATAATATATACATGCACCTGAAAAAAATTGTTTCAATTGAGTTCTCGGGGAGGAAAAGTGAGTTTGTAATCAGTGAATATTACTGCTGCTAATGCAAGACACTTAAAAAAAACAAAAAAACAAATCAAGCTCTCCCAGTCACTGGCATGTTTATCTAAAAATAAATATATACATTTAAATTCACCTTCATCCCTTCTATGTGTCAGAGGCTTTGGGGTAGATTCTCCGACTGATACCAAATCAGTTGGGCCTTCAATCCCTGCTTGAGGCAGTCTGATGTCTAGCTACACTGGTGAGCTGTGAAACAGCAAAACAGTCTCTGTAGATGTCATACATATATATAATATAAAAGTGGACATTGAAATCAACACCCAGAGGCGTCTGTATGTTTCATGCTAAATGCAATCATCAGGTACATGGTGTTTCACATGAGACAAGCTGTTGCCTCTGGATGTTAACTTCAATGTCCGCTTTTATATTTACATATGCTCTATCTCTGATATTGAGCACTTTAACAC